TACAGCTATAATGATTCGTTTCTTAAACTTTTCATCTTTATTCAAGAAGTAATTCGACTGTCAACAACATCCTAAAACACTATCATTGTTTCACTCCTGTGCTCTAGACAGACTCTCTTCTATTCAGTTAATAACAAACATCAAACGAATAGTAAGGCATGGACCCGTATTACTTCAATTTTTTTTCATTTCTTTGAAACAGATATGTTGCTCCGAAACAAGCTGCATTTGAGAATCCAAGAATTAATTGCACTTAGAAAGCGATGTTGGAAACAATGTAAAAATTGGGTGACAAAATCTAGACACTCACTCCAACAGAACACATCTTCCTCTATAGTTTATAGAATCACACCCGATTGTTGCCACTGCTGGCTTGGTGAATGATGATATCAGTGTACAAAACGATGATGCTATAGAAGATTCACATACATCGTTCAAAACCAATCTTGAACAAGCATGGTTATGGCTTCATGAAGCCGAGTGCAAGGTAACCGAATTTGAAAAAGAACAAGTGCGACGTGAAAAACGCCTAGTACGAACTCGAAACTCGCTCAGAGACTCTTCTTTGACCAAGTCAAAATGAAATGAGCTTCAAATACAAGCAAGACATAATCAATTACTACTTGCACAATCGAAGAAAAATATTAGAATGGAACAAGAGGCGTGGCGACTAGAAAATGGATATTTCTCCAATGTTATGGCTATTACTTTTCAACGAAGCTAAGAGCTTGAATAGGAATTTCGCTGATCTCTACAAGTTTCCTTGATAAGTTGCATCAAAACTTCTTAAATCGAATTCAATTTGTCGGAGAATGCGACACAGAATCATAATCGCGAAAAAGAGCTAAATTAAAGCAGACTAATCATATTAGAGCGCTGTACAATTTTTTGTATATCTTTTTTTATAGTGTTAAACAAGAATAGAATTCAACATTTATCTTATATAAAATTACTATTCAGCTGAAATATGTAGGAAGAGAAGAAGATTTTCAATCTTTGGTTTAAATTTTCGCAAAGCATTATAAAGGGTGTGGCTATATGGGACGACTTGAGTGTGGGGTGTGTTGGTGTGGTTGTGTGCATGTGGATTTATTCTTCTTTTGACAACCACACCCACACCCACATCAAACTCAATTGATAACGGGTACTACAAAGTGAAGTGTTCTACTCTCCATATTAAATTATAATATTTTGTGGCGATGTAAATTTCATAGCTAATTTAACATATTCATGTCCATCGTAAAATAGATTCAATTGATATTATCGTTTAAAGCAAAAAGCGAGTATGTCTACAGATTTATTTTTTAAAATTACATGCACCTATAATTGGAGGCTATGCTTTGACTTGAAATCAATAAGAAAAGAAACTTTTGAATGAATAGAAATATGTTATTTTTTTCACTTTAGCAATCAATGATTTGAACATGTTTTTATGCTTTTAACACAACCCACACCCACATCCAATGGCAATGTAATTTCAAGATTAATGAAATTACTATAATACTATTTTAATTAAAAATTTTCTTGACAATTGAATCGAAAACAAAAATCAGTAGTTATAAAAGACAGTATGAATAATAGTATCATTCGTTCTTAAAATTTCAATTGAACCTGATTGATTTTGTCGTTCAACAAATGGATAAATATGTTTAAGATCGTTACATTTAACTGAAATTTCTTTTTGTCTTATTTCGTTTCGATGATTCCAATTATGCCCTTTGCAATTATCAAATGGATCGAACTTGAAAATTTCTCGAGGTTTCCGTGGTGTAGGTAACCATAATTCTCCAAATGGTCTCATAACTAATGGAAAAACATATTCTTTTAGTGTAATAGTAGAAGGATAATCGGTTTCCCATAAATGTGTTTCATTTGTAGCATACAAGAAAATATCAATAAATGGAAAATTCCATGACAACCCTCCAGCAGATGGAGTATTTTTGAAAAATATTTTATAGTATCTTGGTTTTCCGTTTCTATTTGATAATACATTATGTTGTACTAACGTCTTATTCATTTGCTTAATTAGATCAATAAAACGAGTACGTTCTTCAATAGGTATCATTATATCAATATCATCATCCCATGGAATAATATCATGATGTCTATATGAGCCTAATAATGATCCATAAATTAACGAAAATGTTATATTATGTTTTCGACACACTCGTTCAATAATCATTAATAAACGCATAGCTAAATTATGTTCACACGGAGTAAAAAGACGAGCAAGATAAGGAGAAGATTTCCATTGAGAATAACGATAAGGTAAACGATAAAGTCTTGTTGAATTAATTGATGGAGCTCGAAGAAAAGGTGATTCAGGTAGATATTGTTCATTATCAAGACGATTTGCCATATCAAGACACCAAATTGAATGATCATCGACTGATGTTTTTTCATCTTCTGTATTATTTAAAATTTTGTAAAAGGTCTTTGGTGTAGATGAAAAATTTAGAAAATGATATAATGACAATTTGACATATCGAGAAGATTCAAGTGAAATCGAAACAATAAAAATAAATATGAGTAAACAGAGAAGAAAAATAGGAGCTACTTGACGTATTGATGCTGGTCGAGGAATCATGTATTTTATTTCGATTTTATTTTTGTGTGAATTTTATTAATAAATGCGTTAAAGAATAGCAGCTGGTACGATAACGATGGCTAGAATATGGAATTTGTTTATTCTTTGATTTTTTTTATGAAATATTCATTGTTCGAGGTGAATGCATAATAAAAAAAAGTATAAGAACAATAAACATCTGTCAGCATGACAAATTCTAGTCCATGAATTATCTCGCAATGATATCTCTACAACGCTTGAGAAGGTCACTAAATGTGTTTTCGATCACTTTAATTTGCCCCTTCGAAAAAAAGATCCATTTATAATCTCCTTCAACGAATACCATTTACATGAATTTTTGCAAATTGATTATTCATATCATATTTACATTTCGATTGTATTGAAGCTTGTATTAGAAAAGAAAACATTAAATTGCAAAACAAAACATGTAGGACTATGATCCAATATACTAGATTATCTTTGTGCGGATGTATCATTTTCTTTTGTTAAAAATATTTATGAGAATGAACGAAACTATTTGTTCTATTTATTCCATAGCGATTTAGTTGTAAACACAATCAATAAATAATTGAGGATTTTGAAAAAGTTGAACATATTCTTTAAAAAGGCATCATTCATTCATTTGGATGACTTTCTAGTGTGAGAACATCATCGGATGATAGATAACCAGTTTTAAATTAAAGTACAGATTTCATGATTCTTCCGAATATTGTTTTTAATTACAGTGCGCGTCATTCATTTTTCTCCCTTCGTTTTTCTCACATAACAGTATTACAATTTCATTTAGTTTCGATCATCACTACAGGATGTCTGGAAAGTAACTTTCTATTTTAAATTCTTTATTACTCTCACACAACAAAAGATATCATACTGATTTTTTCATTGTTTTGAAACGTAGGTCATGGCATTTTGTTGCAGATGAAACCAGCAGGTTGACCGTTTGACTATCTAACATCAAGTACGAATTTCGTCTAGAGAATATCTGGACTAGTTGAAGCTTACATTGTGGACAGACGAGGCAAAAAATGATCAAGAGAAAATAAGCGACGCAGTAACTTTTCTTCTTTGGGATAGATATTTATGGTTTTATAGAACGTTTCGTTCTCTCTCTTCTTCTCTTCGAATACTACACCTACCCTCACTTTGGTACAAGTATTTAAACGACACTTCTTGAATATTCTCAGTATCACAAAACGTTTTTAGTAGAGCCTGAAATATTTTCAACAAACGTGTGAAATAAATAAAAGAGAGCAATTAATTCTCTACAAAACCTTATATCGGGCTATGCTTGTGATTTCTATTTTTCCCATTTTTTGTTCCCTTGAGAATGCTTTCCATGTGTCAACGGGTGGTCCTTGGCATATAATAAGACACCAATTGAAACATTTAAAAAGTCATAGGACGTTGTAGTCAAGACCATGGGTAATCAGTATATATATAGTTAATACTTAATACGTACAATTCAAATAATTTTCCATGATATCCTTTGCATATAATACCGTGCTACATATGACCCTCATATATACGTATTTATTAATGAAATTTAAAAAACTTGTCTGATAGATAATCACACGTTGACATGATCTACAAATCTTGAAAGTTTCATGCGATTTCAAAATACTTATTCTATAATCAAAATTTCAATGAAAACCATCTCTAGAGTAGAACACTCGTTTATTAAAATTTTCAAGAGAGCCAGTCGTTCTGGAATCAAAATAGATTTTTGGTAGCAAAGCGAAGTTTGGTGTTGTATTATTATTCTTACAGTGTTTATCTATCTTGAAATGTTTCTAAGATTAAAGGTATTGCATTCGTATAGCAACGAGCATACCACATATTTTTCTAGATATTATTAAACATGATTTGTGCATGCTTTGTCTGTTATCAAAGCCACTTTTGGAATCGAAAGCTGTATTTAGATATGTTTGAGTTATTTTTAGATGCCTATAAAGAACAAATATTGAAGAAAAATGACTTACTCATATCAATCATTCATATCATAAGATAGACTATGAATGTTTGCAAATGTTACGAAATATTGTTTAAGTATTATTAGTATCTTACTCAAACGATCTTTCGAGCCAGTCTATTATAGGTTGATCTAATAATTTTTGTTGAGAAAATCTTTTTTTTTAATTAAGCATTGTAAATATCTAAAACTTATTTTCTATTACAAAAAAAAACACAATAAAATTCAAACAAACTTTCTTATCATTAGATTATTCCTTTGATGTAATTGAATCATGTGACTCTATGATGATGGATTAAATACGAGCTTTATATAGTAGGAAATCCATAAGATACTGTTCTGCAGGAGAGATATAATGAAATGATATAGTTTGATCACTACAACAATTGTAGTACTAAAATGAAACAAATATATCGATAGTTAAAAAGAAAAAGAGATTTATTTTCAACGACTTACGGATTGTAATGGGTTTTCAGCACGTTTGACAAGCCAATCAGGGAAGAAACCCTGAAAATGATCAGCAAATGGAAGTGGATGAAATAGTTCACGATTTTCTTTATCCAGTGCCTTGCCTGGATAAACACCTTTTGTACGAAGGCATCTTGCAATTTCAATATCTTCAGCACCACCATCTTTAGTACAATTTGATATTGGATCGTTATATGCTTCATAAAATCGTCGTAATGATTCTCGACTCAATACATAAGATGCACCACCTGAATGGTACCCCTTAGGGATGTGGATCTGAACATAAAAACAATAAAGAATTTTAAGCTAAGGACTCTTTTATGAATTAAAATCATAATTGTTGAACTTCAAAAAAGATTTCATTACGAAACTATGACCTAATTCTTGTCTTATTAATACGCTACAGTTATCAGAAACGAACGAGTAAGCATACTTTAACAAGTTGAAAGAAAAAAACATTTTAAACCCATCTACTAATAGGTACTAAGAGCATTCTCGTTGCTTTTTGTCTTGAAATAAGTCAATTTTCAGAGTATTGATGATCTCAGAGAAAAAAATTGAGAAATACACCGATCATAAAACAAGAGGCTCTTTTCTTTTCCTTTTCTGTCTCTCGAAAACCATATCACTGTGACTGCACTGTACTTGAATGTAATAGTTTATCAGTGTTTTATCTAGTATGAAAGTCAAGTAGGGGCACTTTTCGAAGATCAAGTTGATTATGGTGTAGCTTCTGCTGTTTCCCGCATTTACCATGTATTTGACTTCTGAAAGTTAGATGTATGCTCTACTGAAGTTTTAAATCACCTATTCAAAAGAGAAAAATCTGGATAAAAATGCTGTACTTTATCTAAGATATATTTGCAATACTATTGATGTGATCGTTTTGTGAAAGATCTAATATGAGCCTTTTCTATGTGCGTTAAATAAATATTTGTATTTATTTAAGTTATTAAGGGAACAAAACGAAGTGATTCAATCCATTGATTAGCACAATAGATGATAACTCATATGTAATTACCTGAAAGGTATATCCAAAGGTAATAGGTTCTGATGGATTTTGTTTACTTAAAAATGTTTTCAAATGTGTCACAATCAAATATGTATCATCATCTGCTTTGACAAACCATTCAAAATCATTCAAATAATATTCATATGCAAACAAAAAGGCTAAATTTGATTTTTGTGTTAGATGACCATAACCAGGTGTAATGTTTTTAATAGGTGCAATAGGTATTTGTTCAGCAAATTTAATTTGTTCAGGTGTCATTATTTCTCGAGCATATTCTGTTATGAAAAAATAACGATCACATCGTGGTGCCCAAGTTTCATTTACAGCTTTCACACGTGTAAGAAAATATTGTGGTGCTGTTAATATTAAACAACATACACGCGGTAATATTGTCTCATTATGATATATATCATGATCCAAATGAAGACTAATAAAATCGGTATTAAAGTTTTTCACAAAATAAGGACAACGAAAGATCGTATTTAATGTGATTATAGCAAATACAATACCAATGAAAATGAAACGTCGCCTATTAAATGAATGCAACATTTTTTAAATGAGTTTTGTGCTTTAAATGGAAACTATAAAGAAAAAAGATAAAATTGGTAAAACAGGTTTACACCCAATTCGGTCCTATTTGATGATTAATCATTTGAGTTTGTTCTATGTTCATTTTCTCAATTGGGTTCCTTTTTCGCTTGTTCATAACTCATCCGGTTGAGATCAATCTTCATCCTCTCTTCGAAAAAAGTCAATTTTCGTAAAAAAATCTCATAGTGGCGATAAATGCAAAGGAATATTGCTCGAATTCTGGTCTTTCACAAACAAGACGAATTTTCATTTAATAGCTTGTTTTTTTCAAAGCTTTTTGCTTATTTCAGGCACGTCCTACTAGAAAAATATGCTGTTTGCAGAAAAACTAGAATATCTTCGCTTTTTTTTTGCTAGTTTATGGTTTGTTGATTGTGCATCCGTGAGTTCTCAAGAGAGCTTAACTGTAACCAACGACGTTCTTCCTCAAAAGATCATGTCCAGATACAGAGTATATCAGAGATTGTTTTTTCCACTTCCGCTCAGTTTCTACTACATGAAAGCGTACGTTTACTATTAGAACATTTTTTTTTGAATCTTTCGAGACATTGAACTTTGTATCATTGTTCTTCGCTTAAAAAGTAAGAACAAAAAAACGGAATTTCATTTCATTAATGAAGATTCACAGATAATTTTGAATTGCTACAGGAAATATATTTAATCTTTGTTGGTTAAATGTCTCGCATAAGCATCATGATGATATAGAGCTAAAGTCGTTTCTTGAGGAGAAAGAGAGTTAAAAGAAGATGATAAGCTTTGGCTTATTTTTATAATTATACATTTAAAGAATTCATTCGCGAATGCTCACTGATTGAGCATTATAATTCAACTTAAACCAGGGTGCGAATGTGGATCTTCACTTTAACCACACACCCACCCACGCACATTCACATCCCACTACGGTTCTAATCGTTAGTTACGTAGATACTCAAATGGAATGCAAATCCATGCAATTTTACAACCTCCAAAAAAAAAGAAGGTACCACCACGATGACGTCGGTAGTGATAATAGTCCAACTACGAATATCTCTGGTATAAAATAAGTAGTTGATGTAAGATTATTTATTACACTAGTTTGACAATATTTATGCATTTCAATTTTTGAATTTAAGCGGTTCAATGATGTTCAGTTAATAGTAAGTTTTTTCTGTAAGACCTATTATGTTTCATTTATCATCCAATGCATTGTTTAGATATAAAAAGACAAGTTTAGATTTCATTAATACTTATAATCATTTTCTATGCCCTCACATCGTAATGATAAGACGTATACATGATATAAGGTTCCTTTGCTTTGAAAATTCTCTCTCACTTCGACTCTTATCTGAGAATCCTGAATACGTCTCGCTATTAGCAGAAAAGATTTATAATGAAAATTTAAATGCATCGCAGAAAAATAAAAATCAATAATTACTTACTGTATGAATCATCTTTCAATTTTTATAAGTTTACGATATTTCTTACCCGAAAATAAAAAAATGCTATTCTAATCTCTCGTATATTCCGAAATCGCCTGTCATCTATATCTATATATAAAGGAAAAAAACTTAAAGAAAACAAAATGAGGAAACAATTTTTTCGCTTTCTTCTCTCTATATGAATAATAAAACATCTAATTAATGCCATATATAGCATATAAATACTGATTGTCACAAGTATACCACAATATCAGTCTCTAGACTCAATAGTTTGTTTCCAAAACACATCGATACCTCTCGTATACTCTTATGTGACAGGAACAGGAATCATTGCTTTCTTATCGAATTTAATCACCACTTTTCGTCTGACTATACTGAATCGTCAGATAAACCATCTTTGTATTAAAATTTGCAATGTTTTATTTTAAAGAAATTTAAAAAAATATCAATTCGATTTATTCTACAAATTGATCTAGTCGGTACAAAAGCGAAAATAAAATTCGGTAAGACAAGATGAGTTTCTAGAACGATCAAAGAGTGTAAACAATACATTCTGCACTTATGAAACAAGCTATTGGCTTCAGAGATTGATAAAATTCTACACGTCTAACTATCACTACCTAGTATCACCAGCCTAAATTAGAGATTGTATTATTCACATATAGAGTAAAATCAACAGAAAAATTTCTTTACTTACATTTGCTCTAGCCTGTGTATTTTTTTCATATATATATGTCACATATTTCAATATAAATACATATGTCACATATCTCAATATATGTAAATGACACATTTGAATATATGTAAATAATAATTGTATACAATACTGGAGATAATTTTTCGGACGATTTTGTTTTGCGTATAACTATCTTATAATGTTAGCTGTTGAGGCGCTGTTTGCGCAAAAATTACCAGTAGCGTTTGTACTATATTCACAGAAAATTTCGCCCCTAACCAATGAGCAGTAGTCATTTTCTGTTGGACAAGTTTTTTCGACTGGCCTTTTTAATGGAGTTGTTATTTTTCTCACAATTGATCAAAAGAACTAAAATCATACAAATAGAAAGAGCAAAACACAAGTTACATTTTGATAATCAAAACTTTCTAAAAGCAAAATGTCTATGTATGTCTTTCTAAATATCATATTCGAAAGAGCGTCAAACACAGCATAAGATAGCAGATGATTTGAAGTTTCACGACAATTACATATAAATCATGTAGAGTTTACATGAATAGTGTCAGCTGTCTCTTGTAAAACAAGCATTTCACTCCATAGACAATTTACTTTTAGAAAGTTTTGATTATCCAAATGTAATTTGTGCTTTACTCTTTCTATTTATATGATTTTAGTTCTTTTGATCAATTGTGAAAAAAAACAACTGCATTGAAAAGATTGTTCGAAAAAAACTGTCTAACAGAAAATGATCATAGCTCCTTGATATAAGTCCAGTTTCATCATGACTCAACATTGAGGAGTGAAATTTTCTGTGAATATATCAAATCACTTTTTCATCGAGTATATGCTCTAAAGATAGACCTTTATGAGCTATTGCATACTCTACAGAAATTTGATTTTCCAGACCTCCTGAGTGTAAATGTGCAATGATTATTATTACTAGTTTTGCTATACTACTGCACTAATATATGCGATATCTTGACTAAACATGCTCAAATTCGTCTCATATTTATATCAATAGAGTAAGGCACTCAGTACCGATAAAGATCCCAAAGTTTGCAGATGAATGATTGTTTTTTATCGAAGATATGAATCTGTTTGATCTAGAGATTGGTTATTAAAAAAATAACATGCCCTCTTGTTGAAAGATGCCAGTATTAATTCATCTGATACCTTCAGCACACATTCATTTCATAATGAGCATGCATGTGGAAATGTTAACTTATTTATCCGTGCTTTCGTTAATAAAGATTGAAACTATAAATTCAGATACTTTTATGATGGAACGTACAGTTGTGATATACTAAACTTTATTTTCCAAAGATGCTAATATCTGGTATATGTATTTCATTGATTTCAATTAAATCTTTTTTGTTTGAATGTGTTCTTTGCATAGAATCATTGGTGGCCGAAATTGGCAAAGAGTACTAATTGTGTTCTGATGTACTTGAAAAGAGAATGATATGCAAAGTGAAAGAAGGAGTTTCTTAAAAAGGACATCTCCGCGCTGAATATATGTATATATATATATGGCGTTCCAAAAGTCACACAACACTTGGCACTATATTTAAAATATATCATCAATATAAAAAACTTAAATCTTATTCATATATATACTTGTACTTAATAGTAAGGTATATACAACCATCAATATACTTGCTTTCGACTGCAATAATTTCTTGAACAAAAATACAAATGTGTCTTATATACTCCTATATGAGATGTGGCTGCGTGGTGTCGGTTATCTCTTTCTCTATATCTTCATCTACACCCACACCCCCCCTTCATATAGATGTGCTCAAATTTCCTGAAACTGAAACCAATTGATATCCTCCAAAATCTCTAAAACTCCTCAAAATCTTTCAAAATTTTCCAAAATCTTCTACAATCTTTTAAAATCTTTCAAAATGTTAAAATCTGCTTTTACTCCCTTGAGTAGGGGCTACTTTTTTATAGGAAAACTAATTTTTCCAAAAATCTTTGAAACGTACATGAATTGACTTAGTTTTTAACGTTGACTCCAAATATGGTATTGGTTTTGATTTAAATCGGAGTGTAGATGGAGGTATGGACATGTAGTTCATTTCTTCACTCACACCCATACCCACATCCTCTGTGATGGCAAGAAGGATTGTGTGAGTGGCGAGAATGAAGCTCATTGTTGGGAACACGAAGCAAATATATGTGCTGAAAGCGAATATCAATGCTATACTGGTCATTCTATTTCTAGTCAGTTTCACCATGACGAAAGTTATATCCCAGATTGTACCGATGGATCGAATGAATTTGACTTTAAGTCTCACGATTGTGTAATTAATTCGACATTTCGCTGCGAGGAGCACATTTGTCATTCAGAGATGAGTAATCCACTTTTTGTTATGCGTTGATAGTCAATGCAGCGACAAACTGGACAAATGTGCAAACAATTGAGGAGACATTTCATTACTGGATCGATTTGTTACTGGAACCAATATCTTTCTTCACATTGTTTGAAACCAATGATTTTTCTCACTGGTTATGTCATTAGCGTAGATTTTTGTTGAAACGAATGTGCTATGAAAACTGCGACTAATTATCCTTGATACATCATATTTCCTGACCAAGCTGTGGCCTCTGATTATGTCTATTTTGTGTAGATACACGTGCTCACTGAGGAAAGGAGAAGAAATTATGTTGTATTGTTATCTTTGCACCACAGATATTGATAGAAAGAATCGACAATATTTTTGCCCTTGCTTTATACTTTTTTTCTCTCATAAATAACCATAATCAGAATATTTCTGAAATAATCGCCTCTTCATTCAAGCAAGAGGACGAGAGAAACAAATTTACCATGGTAAAAAAAACAACGCCATACCGATAAGATAAGATCAGAAAAATGATATAGCAGTATTATTCTCGTTCTTTTATAAAAGTAGGCATGTAAGTCACATTATGTAGAGTTCGATGGCTTTTTTTAGTGACTTGATAAATGTAATTGTTCTTTCAGATTTCTTATTTAACATAAAATGACTCGAATTTGGGCACTGACATGGTATTGGTCTTTACTTATTTTACCATTCACAGCTATGATCACATTCGTTCTAACGCTAGTAGTGTGCAGACAAGTCTTAAGACAGAACGAATGGTCAGGAGTGAAGCTACCGCACATTTCTGTACTTGGAACGGGTCCTGCTTATAAGTATTTTGTTTCTGGCTTTGTCATTTTGACTCCACAATTTTTATTAATTGTTATTGGTCGACTGCAATTTCTTTTTCAATCTCAATCTATCATTCATTGCGCTATTCTATATGCTATCCATGCTATAGCACTGATCGCATCCGCATTTCTTCTGATCATGGCCATCGTGAATTTAGATCATAATGATCGTCTTCATTTGATTGGTGCTATTGGAATGTTTGGACTCCTTGCGACGTATTGTTCCTTGCATACTATTGTTGTTTTCTATCTCTTTATGCGACGATCGACAACACCTCAACATTCGAATATTCTTTGGCCATTATGGTTTCTTGCCTGTTGTATAGTGCTTATCATTTGTGTCAGTATTTGGGGCGCAACGAGCCAAAGCATTCCGCAATATATTGCTGCCACGATGCCTTTTCTGTATATTCTTGGCTTCGTGCCACAGTTTTGGAGCCAAATGAGAATGAAAAGACGAAATTCTGATTTATCTGAACAAGTTCATGACTTGAATGAAATTATAAGATTTTAACTTGAGAAAATCGAGGTAAATTTCAAGTTATGGTGTTTCATATTTACTTAAGGTGATGGTAATGCAAAACTCGAGCAGTTTTATTTTTTTTTATTTTTATATATGGTTCGGCGCCGTTGAACGCACTGAATCCGAATATATATGGCAAACCTATAAAACCAATTTTTCATGTCAAAACTTGAAAAAACTGCAAAAGTCGAGGATTGTAAAATATCAGTATTTTTAGGGAAAAGGGTCTACAGCTTCTCTAGATTCGTATGTGAGTGAGTGAGGATGTGAGTATGGGTATAGATATGAAAGTAGAAAAAAAATGACCCCACACCCAGACCTATTTTACAATTTTCAGTGTTTATAATACAACAGATTTTGATGATTTCCACGCATGAAATTTAAATTGAGGCAGTTTTAATCAAAACATAAAAATGGATTACATAAACTATTCTGCACCAACGTCATTTTCGATCTCGATCAAAAATTTACTCTCAATGATTAAACTTCAAGTTAGAAAAAAACTTTGGATACACATTCAGAGAGAACATCTAATTCTAACTGACTATGATTTTGTACCCAGATTTTCTTGACAGGGGTGATGCATTACGTAGTAAGCACTATATATTGTATGAATCAAAGTGATACGAGTCTTACAACATCTGGAAGTAAATACACCATAGCAACAAAAACTTTTAGATAAAATGAAAAATGGAGCCATTGTTCGAAGTATGAAATATTAAAATACAGAAAATTAATTTTTCTATGTGCTCTGTTTTTAAGATTAAGTTAGGTGTTTTTTTTCTTCGCTCATAGAGGTTTTTTGTCATCACTCATCAAGTAATTTACAAGTTGACCATGTTCAAATAAATGTTGATCATGTTATATGGTCAATGTTTAGAGGTGCTGTATTGATTATTACAAATAAATATATTTGTTTCTTTTATCCTTGTTTTGGCACGAAAGACCAGAATCAAGTAGTTCATCAGCAAGCCTTTTTTTCTCTCTTTTCATTGAATAAGAACTAATTGTTTAAATGCTGTAGATCAGTCTGTATTCATTGTAGAATATTTTAAATAAAAAAATAAAAATAATGTTTTCAATTAATGATGCCATTGAATCATATCATACTTTGAAATACTGATTTGTCCAACATGTATTTGGGTGCTAGTGTAGTGCCAAAAGAATAAGTACATACATATTCACAGCCTCGTCGACGAAAAAAAACGGAACAATGATCATCGCATCATTAATTCAGTTCATGAGAATTAATTATGTTTTCTTAGTTTTCGATGATCAATCTTCTAATTGATGCAAACTAAAAACACTACAATATCACTTATTAATTATTCATCCATAATCATCATTGAGTGCTAGTTCGTGTCTCAAAGATATATAGCGAATGATATTCTTCTATGAAATTGTTCTATTCGAACATCTCATCATCAATACATCAGGTAAGTACTCTAATGAGTTTATTTTTAGAAGGTACAATATACATTTCTTCTAATATATTTTGGTTACATATATAATGCAATTTATCGATTCATATGGTACGATATCGTTATTTACATAGGCTATTTTAATTATTACGAATGTTAGATGATAACAAAAATCTTTAAAATATGTGGATTCGTATCCTGACCCAGAATGATCTATCGTGCCTGTTTTGGGGAAAGCAGTGTTGTAGTCAGGAAGGTCGTTATGTTCGTAGGTTCCTGTCGTCATTATTGTACGTTATACCTACGTTCATTAGCTTACTAGTCCTCCATAGTTCGCTCTGTGTGTCTCTATTTCAGGTTTACAGAAGGTCTTCACGATCCCACGCGCATATACGATAATGAGTCGAGAAGAGTCTGAAAGTGAAGTAAATAGCAACCAGACTCAATTTACTGAGCCAACAAAAAGAAAAAAAGTCAAGTTTACATCTTTTTCACATAGTCGAGGTTATTTCTATATAATTGAATATGTGGATGGTTTGGAGGCAATGAATTTTCCATTATTTTAAAAGCCCGTTCACAATATACAACTGCTTTAGTATGCTCTCCCATTTTAGAAGATAACAATCCAATATGTCCATAAGAAGCAGCCAAATCTGGATGATTTGGAGGTAGAGATTTTTCTCTGATTTCCAGTGCTTTTTCGTGAAATTCAAGTGCTTTCGAGTAGTTACCGATGTTTTTATATACTCCACCGATGTTGTTGTAGGAAGTAGCCAAATCAGGATTATTCGGAGACAGAGCATTTTCTCTGATTTTCAGTGCTTTTTCGTAAAATTCAAGTGCTTTCAAGTAATCGCCCATGTTGTTATATGCAAGGCCGATGTTGATGTAGATGCTAGCCAATGAAAAATGAGTTTCCGGAAGATTTTTCCGCTCTATTTCAAGAGACTTTTCATAGAATGAAACTGCTTCTTTATATTGTCCTTGATCATCTTTCAACCATCCAAGCTGGTGATAAATATCTGCTCTATCACTATCGTTGGAAGCATTTTTGAGTAATTCATTGTAGAGTTCTTCAGCTTGATTGAAGTGACCCACTTTGAGCATCAGCTCACCCATTCGATACCATCCAGTGCCGTTGATTTCCTCTCGCATGCTTTTGGTGAGAGCAGCCAGTTGTGGATCATTTTCGTCTGTGAGAGCCAATTGCACTTCCCATAGACGACTGTTGTCGATTGCCTGTTTAATATCATCGACACGAAATACAGTGTGCATTGAGAATAAAATTTCTTTTTCGCCTTTTATAGCACTGTATTCGTCGATAAGTGCAAATGGAGTTGTTGAAGCAGTGACTTTACTTGAATCAATTGTCATGATAAAGAGAACACCCACAATGTCTTTATTCTTGTGCATCGCACGTTCAACAAATACCATAGCGACCTGTTGTTTTGTACTAGTTGACAAAAAGTTGTTAAACGAGAGAAGTCCACCTTTCGTGTCCATTAGATGTTGAAAGTTTTGTTCAATGAGTCCTTGGCCGCGATAAACAATAAATTTTTTCATATAAGTACCCGACTGTTCCCTATGCAGTTTTTCTAATTGTCGATGAAGGTTTCGGATGAAAAATCCCATTTTTGTCATGGCTTCCATATCGAATGAACGTAGGGCGCAGTTAAGCATACTATACAGAAATATTTCACATGTGTACCACCATACTGGCGATTTCTGGTTGTATGTACGCTGAAACTCCTTTAATTCTTCTTCCGGAATACCTTTACTACAACAGTAGACGACCAAATCTTTCAATGACTTAGCGTTATCTTCCTTAATTTCCAATATGATTTCTTTGAATAATACTGAATACATAAACGATGGTTCCAATTGGTTGAGACTTTCTTGATTAGAAGCTACTGCTGCAGTCATCGTTCGCTTTGGAACAAAGCTCATCGGCATTGAATCATGGTCGCAATCGTGGGCGACCTTTTTCAATGAACTGCAAACAGGATCGATTGAGGTAAAAACGCCTTCAATCTTTGACCATTCCTTTGCCCATGCTTCGTGTCTTGTTTTATTGCAACAAAAGATGTAAATTGAGTCCACTTGTGGCAAGCCATGAATTTCTGGAACAAGATGCTGTCCTAATGCTCCAGACAAGATAACGAAAGCTTTCTCGTTATCCATATCATTGAGAAATTTAATGCATTGCGCTGACGTCGTACAGAGATTAATTTCTCTGACGACACTGCGCAATTTGGCCAGTGTGTTTGCACAATCTTCGTTGTTTTCGTCGATGTTGCCATCAACCCAGATCAGCAAATAATTTTGAAGCCGGCCTTGTTTTGATTGGTTGGCAACGATTGAGGATGTTGCAGTTTCAGTGACATCCGTCATTGATTTGGAAGTATATTGTTTGGATTTTTGTCCGCCCATGTTGTATATCAAATATTGCTTATTAATTCAAAACGAATAATATTTGCTTGTTGTTTATACGTTCGATGCCTGCTGTTCTTTTTCTTGATTTTTCTGCGACGTCAAATGTTGTTTTTTTTTGCTTTGAGGCTCAAAGATAAACTCTCCTTAGCTTCAATTCAAAATATGGTTGTCAGCAACAGATAAAAGAGAAAAGTGCAACAACATCATTTATTTGATGGTTATTCTATCCAACTTTCGTTTGCATCTTTTTATTATATTGACTTTTATTGTCCTTACAAAACGAGATAGACAATGCCAGATAAGAAAAATTAAGCACTAGTAAATAGAATGATAAGAATAAAAGAGCAAGACGAAAGAGAAAAGGATGGAAAATAAGGGCATCATTATCGTAAATTTATCGCCTAGAGAGATCTTATGTAGAAGAATAATAACAATGATGAGAAAGAGAGGATTGAGAAAAAAATGCTGATTAATTGGTGTCATATAGCACAAAAAGTAAATTAACGAATTAAAAAGCGAGGACTAAATACAACACATTCCATCATAATACATTGATCACGTTCGATTGAATTCTCCGCTCATGATTAATACGTCTACAACAAATATTTGCATATCAAGACAATGTCATTTCAGTTAGCAGTGAATTCATGTTTTTAGGGAAAAAAAACTTGTCACCAAACTTGTACCAAAAAGAATATTGATTGTCCCAAATAGTTTATTAAATACACTGACGGATGAAAGCCTGTTGAAAAACTTCTATTGCAAAACATTTCTTCAGAGTCTAAAATATCTATTTTTTAAGCATGTGCATCCTTTTCTCATCTCAAGCGAATAGAAACACTCACACTCTGGTAATTATGCTATTGGTATTTGTTGAAGATGTAGATCCACTTGTGGATGTTGTTGGTGATGATGAGGAAGACGAAGATGTTTGATTTTGTGTAAGATCAATCCTTTTTTTCTGTTTTCGTTTAACTAATGTATAATCATTATCATTTTCACTTTCCATAGGTATAACATTTTTCTTATTTGAACATTGTTGATGATTCAATTGATGATGAGTCATGTCAATTGTTGTAGGGTAAAGTTCATTAGATGTCACTATGTTCTGATTGTATTGAGGAATATTCAACGGTATTGGTTAATGGTGACAATTAGGGGTATAACATGGATAGTTGAACAGTGGAAATTGTGTGGTGGTATTGTTAAAATTCGATAAACAGAATTGATTTGTAGTAATACCATTAGTAAGAGGTACAGAAGTATGATGTAATAATATCTGTGAATGGTTGTTGCGAGAATCCGAATCCGTTATTGCGGAGTTGGATGAACATTGATCTTGAACCATTCTGTTGTTGGTAAGGTGTTGTTGAGGTGTCGGATGATCAACAGATAGGAGTAAACTAACATTGAGCATGCTGCCTAGCATGTCGGCAGAGCCGTGAAAGATTTTGAAAAAGAGGCGGCAGTGAAGATGATAGAGGAGTCACGTGAAAAGAATTATATATATATAGCGATAAATACGAGAGGGAAAAGAACACGTCTTATCCGTACTTGTATAGCATGAAGAATGATATAGGGGGAGTTTTTATGATATGAGTACGAAAAGTTATCGAGATACTTTCCTTTGCCGTCATTTAAATATTGCCTGTAGGGCTAATGAATATTCTTCGGAAAACAATAGCCTATCCTCAACCGCAACGACCAAAAGTATTGGTGAGACATCTGAAAATTAGAATAGAAGATGTGAAAGTCACTTGAATTTTTTAGTTCATGCTCGTCAATGGTTTTTAACTGTAGTGAAAATGACGTTCATGTTTAAAACAATCTCATCACAAGCACTTACTAACTACCCTAGAGAAAGTACTAAGTTCAGGGTACCCATGTACTGAGAAAGCTCTAGCAGCGTACCCAGTATGGGTACTTTGAAAATTCTCAGTAATTTTACTGATGCATGTACTGTTTGGGGTACCCGTAAAAGTACATTCACTGAATAAGTACCTGCATGGATACACAAGTCTGTAACTTTACTGAGGAAAGCTCAACAGGGTATCCTAAATTTGTCACGTTCTGTGTGGCGACTATTCATTCACCGTTTTCTTTTTTACGTACGGCTCTATATAAACAACTCGATAAATCATAAGAAAATAATCAATTTTCATACTAATTTTTTCTAAATTATTTCTTGACTATTTCTTAGTCGAGGAAATGGCGAGCATGGTCGTAAATTAAGATCGGGCTACCCTGAAGTGGTCTACGACCAACTCAAGTTGAGTCGGATCCCGACATTGTTCCTGCTAAGTTTTTGGAATTGAAAAAACTAAATTGAATAAAGTAAAAAAAATCTAGTAAATTATCTCAAGAAAAAGAAAAAATTTTAAAGAGTCAAAGATCAGGTTCGATCCTGAACATACTGAAAATTTGGTAACAGGGTACTTAGAAATACTATACAATGGTACCCAATTCAGTACTTGATCAGTACCTTCAGGTACCCAATTACTGTGCATTTTCCAGCAGGGTACTTGCCAAAGTACCAGTTAGGTACCTGTAAGTACCTGCAAGTACTTAGGTACCCAAAAGTTCCTGTGACATACTGGTATCAGGGTACTTTTTTGGGTACCCTTAACTCAGTATATTCTCTAGGGTACCCATGTAAAAAAACGTATGATGATGAACGGGTAGAAACGCGTTTT